ACGGGAGGTCCCAGGATTTTTTCGGAGGGGGAAGGAAGAGAGTCTCCAATTTGCCTCTTTGCTCTGGATGGACCCAAAGGGAGGAGGCCAACGAAGTGAAACAGCTTCAGAGCAGCCTAGAGAGGAAGCGGAAGTATCTGCGTGCAGCGGGCGGGGGAGTGGGGCCGTGACGCCAGGTTTGCCCAGGTCCCAGGCGCCACCAAGTGATAAAAGTCTGAGACAGAGCTCAGTCCCGCCCTGGGTGAGTCCTGGGATGAGGGCAGCGGGGGCTGCGCTGTGAACCAAGATGGGATAAATGCTTGCATTTCAGGAATAAATACCATACTACGACCACTACTAATAGATGCTTGTATAGCCCTCACCAGGTGCCTGGCACTGTTCACTCGCCCAAGGTCACACAGCTTGTAGCACTAAAGGCACCCTCTGTGCTCTTGACCCCATTTCAGATAAGAAGCTGCGGAGTCTTACATCAATGCTGTCAGGCCGGGCTGGATGCCTTTTAACTGCTACCCTAGTCAGAACTGAGAGCACGGTTTAACAGTTCTATTGAAAGACATTGAGGTTGTGTCTGTTTTTCACTACATTTTAGAAACAACACTGCAGTGACAGGTCTTGAACTTGCCTCCTTGATCACAATAAGTGCAGGAACATAGCATATGTACATTTGTAAAAAGTTCTTTACTACAGAGAATTTAAAACATTGATAAAAGTTGAAAGAATAGTATAATGAATCCTTCCATGCGGTACATCCACTTTCAACAGTTAGCAACTCATGACCAGTCTTGTTTCATGTATATCCACATCCACTTCCTCCCTTCCCTAGTTATTTTGAAGCAAATCCCAGATGTATTATTTTACCTGTCAATATTCCAGTATGTATCTCTAACAAAAACTCTTAAAAACATAGCGATAATACCTTTATCGCCTAAAAATTCAGTATTCTTTGTATCATTGCATAGCCAGGAAGTGTTTACATACCAATTCTTATGTCATTGTTCCGCCACACCCCCATCTGGGTGAGCAGTGTGGGATAGGTTGCCAAGAGACCAAAGAAAAGACCTGGAGACAGGGAACAACACATATGGGTTTATTGGGAGTTACAGGGAAGGTCCAGTGGCGGCTGGCTGGACAGTAACATGTACCCGCTATCGCCCCCTAGAGAAGCTAACTTAAGTAGGCAGAGGAACAAAGGCTGCATGCTAGCCAAGGGGGATCGTCCGTATATGACCTGCATTCCAAGGACCAGAGCCCCTCTGGAGGGCCTCTATATTCCTTCAGACCGCCAGGGTCTTGGTGCTAACTCTCCCATGAGAAAGCAGTGGGGTTGGCCAAGCCCAGGTCTGTTATTATCGTGAGTGCTGGCGCACAGCCCAGACAGGAGCCTCAAGGACACATGGTTTTTAAAAGGGCACGCCAGCTAATGCCCCTCCAGTCTTCATTTTTTTACGTTTGTTTGAATCAGGATCCCCATGCTGCCTACAACTGTGCTTGACTGATAGGTCTTGTCTCTTAATCTCTTAATTAGATATCGCTTTCATTTCTCTTTCTCCCCATTGCATTGTATTTGTTATGGCTGGCGGGGGGCGGGGATTGTTTATCCTGTAGTTGCTCAGTCTGCGTTTTGATGAATGCCTCCCTGTAGTGTGGTTTAAAATCTTTCTCTGTCTCTGTATTTCCTGGGAATTGGTAATTCAATCTAGAGGCTTGACCATATACAAGTTCAGCCTTTTGGGCAAGACCACTTCATCATGGTGTCATTTTCTTCAATCAGGAAGGAATGTCTGGTTTCTTTTTGTGATGTTAGCAGCCATGGATGAATAGTGTCTTTATCCATTAATTCATAATGGATGGCAAAATTGTGATATTCTAATTGCATCATTCCTTCTTTATTCACTAGAAGAATACATTTATTAAAAGAAACTTCTTATCACCTATTTTGTTACTGAGTGGTATAGTTCACATGGAAAAGGCGGGGTAAATGCTTGATTGTTTCCTTTTATTTACCAGTTTTCAAAATACTTAGTTGGTTCTCTAGCATTCTCTAATGGTAACTAATTCAGTTTTTAAAAATACTAATAATTATGAACTCATGGATGTAAACACACTTGAAGTGTTTGAATCCACTGCTGTCATTATCTTTACTGATGCTCGGATTTTCCATCTTCAAGTGGGAAGCTCTTCAAGTTAGCTCCCGAGTCCTTCTGACATGAGACCTTCATAGTCAGGGGCTTCCTTGCTTTATGGTGTGACAAGATGTTTCGGGCTCATGTCATATATTTCCTGTCTCAGATCTGGATTCAGCCATATCTCCCAGGAGCCTTGATTTCTTTTTGGAGAAATGCACATAACCACAAATGAGGTATTGGGGGAGGCTCATTTTTTAGCTGGTCATTGTTGCTAAGCCTTTTCAGTAGAAAAACCTAGGGTATATATATATCGATACTTCCAATTCAAATTCAGGACGATAGGCTACAGTCATGTGTCACTTAACAGCAGGGGTACATTCTGAGAAATGTGTTAGGTGATTTCATGATTGTGTGAACATCATAGAGTGTACTTACACAAAACTAGATGATATAGCCTAATAAACACCTAGGCTATATGGTACTAATCTTATGAGACCACCATATATGCAGTCTGTCAGTGACTGAAACATCGTTGTGCAGTGCATGACTGTATTTACTTCTCTCTTACATTTTTTTCTACTCTTGTATTAGTTATCACTGTGTAGCAAATTGCCTAAAAACTTAGTAGTTTAAAACAACACACATTACCTCATAGTGTTCATGTGTCAGGAATCCAGGCGTGGATCAGCTGGGTCCTCTGCTTCAGAGTCTCTCAAGACTGAAATCGAGTGTTGATAAGCCAGGTGTTTCATCTGAAGGCTTGACTAGTGAAGGATCCAAGTTCACATGGTTGTTGACAGAATTCAGTTCCTTGAGGGTTCTTGGACCGAGGGCCTCAATTATTTGCTGGCTGTTAGCAAGAGGGCGCCCTTAGTTCCTTGTCATGTAGGCCTCTTGAACATGACAGCTTGCTTCACCAAAATTCCCAAGGGAGAGCATCTGCTAGCAAGCAGAAGTCACAGTTTTTTGTAACCTGTTCACAGTAGTGACATCCCCTTGACATCGCTGTATTCTGTTGCTTAGAAGCAAGTTAATTAAAGGGAGGGGATTATACATGGCCTTGAATACCGGGAAGTGGGATCATTGGAGGACATCTTAGAGGCTGCCAACCACAGTTTTCTCCTGTGTCAAGAATCCCAGTTCTCAATGATGGTAGGGATGATAGAATTAACATGTCATATGTGCATTGAAAATTTTAACAGATGCTAAAGAGCCTCCAAATTGGCTGTGCCAATTTACATTCCCATATCCCACATCCTTGCCAATGTTTATATTATCAAACTTTTAAATAGTTGCTAATCTGTTAGGTATGTAATGGGGTCTTTTTTTTTTATTTTTAACCCCTAATACTAATGAAATTAAAATTACGCATCTCTTAATTTTATTGGCCATTTGCTTTTCCTCCTTTGTGAATTCCTTATTCACATCCTTTTTCTTTTGGACTTTTTCTTTTCTTTTCTTTTGGACTTTTTAACCTTTCCTTATTGGTGGGCAGGAGTTCTTTATATTCTGGATATTAATCCCTTCTCACGTGTGTGTGTGTGCATATATATATATATATATACATATTTATTATATATGGATGTATGTATTTATTTCATTTTTTAAAAGATAGGACTATCTCTGAAGACAGGATGGTGAATGGGAGTCTTGAATCCCAGACTCCAGGCAGAGTGCACGTGCTACTAAATTATTGAAGCTCAGACCATCTGGAGAACCAAGAGAAGTTCCCAGTTGTGGCCATGCCAGTTCCCTCTTGAATAGAAAAGGGCTACACAAGTCAAGGTGGGGAAAACAGCTTTACATGGAATCAGGAATCCAGCCTTCCTGGAAAGAGTCCTTCACACCAGGAAATTTGCAGACAGCACAACACCTCTGCTACTAGGATTCCCTTGGGCCTGAGTGACTTTGATCCATCTTGGGAAATCTGCCATTGGAAGCTACAGCCAGAACACTACATAGCAAGGAGCAGATACTGGAGCACTTCCCAACCATCCTGCTAGAGGAGCTCCAGGCCCTGGTGAGAGAACATCACCCACACAGTGAAGAAGAGGCAGTGACCTTTTGGGAAAGAAAGACTAACGGATCAAGAGCATGTGGGCAAGTGGAAGGCTGGGAGGTAGAAAGCCAGAATGAAGGGCAGTAACAGGTTAGTGGTGGGTGGGGAAGCCCTTTGAGAAATTTCTTCCCCACTGGGCTAAGCTGAAATAATCAATCATTGGAGTTTTTCTTTACCATTTTCTAACATCCCCCCTGTAGCACTTGAATGTTTGAGAAGCACTTATGCCTTCTTCTCAGCCCTGTGTCTCCTAAGTCTCTTCTCAAAGGATTTAACCCTAATTCCCATAATAATTTCTAAAGAAACCCACTGATTCAGATTCCAGCCCAACCCCATAAAAGGGACACCATCTTAAAGGAAGAATCTCCTCTGAGAACACTGTGGGCATCCTCAGTCATCCAGCTACAGCTCACAAAGACCCAGGTCAAGTGTGAACCTCCAAAACCACGTGCAATTCCAAAGACATGTGAGGAACAGAATTTCTTCTGAGATGCAGGATAGAAAGCACTGCCAGCTAGAGACATATAGGCAATCTTTGTGCCCATTTTTATTAGTTTCTGCTTCCATCAAAACTCTGCCTTATCCATCTTCTCACTCCACTCTATGGCTACAACATATTTATTAGTTGAACGAATAAATGAAGATATGTGGGCAGAACTAACATCTACCCATTCCTTCAGAAGACAAAGAATTTATTCTTCTCTTTGGCCTCTTGTTCTCTTTTCTCATGTTTTCATCATCAGAAGTCACTTTTCAGAGTTTTTGCCTATTGTTTGAGTGGCGTGCAGAATTGATACATTTCTTTTGCATTTCAGATAAAGAATCCAAGATTGAAAATATGGAGACTAAATGCAAGCAAAAGAAGTTGGCTTTAGAGGAGGGAATACTTGAAGTAAAACCTAAAACATTCTACGCAGACCTCGAATTAAAGTTTCGCAGGGTCCCAAATGTGCCAGAAGCAGTGAATGGGCGGGTCAGTGGAGCAGAGCCACGTGGGAAAAAGGTTCACGTCAAGGTGAGTGTAGGAGAGACTTCATCCACTGCTCGGGGCTCTGAATCCACGAATCCACGGCGGATCCACCCCCGGGAAAAGCCGTATGCGTGTGCCGATTGGAGGAAGGCGATGCCGCAGCGCTCGTACCTGACTGAGCCCCCGGAAGCGCGCGGTGGGAGCTCGCACAGGGTTTGCCGAGGCTGCCCAGCCTTCGCACAGCCGGGCGCAGGAACACGGGGAGCGGCCATACGCATGCGCAGCCGTGCTGCCGTCTGTGACCCGTCACGGCCCGGGCGCCGCTGTCTTCCTCAGGGCCGACCTTGCGCTTCAGCTGTGCGTCGGCCCCGGGAGCACATCGTGCGCGTGAAGTCTGTGCTGGCCCTTCATCAGGAGCTCTGACCTCGTGGGTCCTCACGGACGAGAGGCCTTTTAAGTGTCGCAAAACCTTCAACCGGCGCCCCACCCACATCCAGCACTAGGGGGTCCACGTGGGCGAGAGGCCCTATCAGTGTGAGGAGTGTGGCAGCGCCTTCAATCAGAGCTCAACATTTCTGCAGCATGAGAAAACCCATCAAAAAAAAAAAGCCAAAAAAAAAATTAATTGGTAGTGTAATGCCTTCGGGCAGAGCCTGAAGGAGTTTGGTTGAATCAATGAAAGAAGAAATGAAGAGCTTAATTCTTACCCCAGGAGTTCATCTACCACAGTGAAGATCAATTGTATCTTTCGTCAGAACCCATATTTTACTTCTGACAGCAAATTTTATTGAGAGCCCGTGTGTCAGACGGGAGCTGAGTATCACGTGATAAATAAAACACACCTTGACCCTGCATTGACACAGACACAGGCCCTACCTTGGAAGACAAATTCCAGTTATATACAAGCATAATCAGAGAGCTAAATACTTTGGTAAATATATCCTGGAGAGAAACTTTTATCAGACAGTTGGATTTGGCACTGTCTCCTTCCGAATTCTCACTTCACATTAGAAACTCCATGTGAGCTACAAGTTCCATATCCACTTGGGATTTGTCCTGAATGGCACAGGAGCAAAACCACAGCGAAGGGAGAACATCATAGTATAAAATGAGGGGAAGGTGCAGTCTGAGCTTGGGTCTTAGAGTATTCAGGCACAAAGGCAAAGCAGACTGATGTTAATTTTGTATCCAGAGTCCCTAAATAGATCACTCAGTGTGGGGAATGCAGGAAAACCTGGTAAGGATCATTTCTGTCTTGCCTTGAAAACTATGGTGATTCAGTTGAACAGTTTCTCCGAGCTAGCCAGATGACTAAGGGTGCCTGGGCCTCTTCTAATCGATAAATTTACCCAATAAAGTTGTGAAGTCACCACTTGTCTTCATCCCTCACCCAAATTATTCTGTATTTTTTTCCCATTGAGGTTACTATCATACTCCACTGTTCCAAAGTGCACTTTAAAGATAAAACCATTTTTTTGGTGGCTAATTTTTCCCATCAAGTTGCAATGTATTCTCAGTATCCTGAATGGTATAGCTAATAGATTAATTTCAAGTCCTGTTTTGGTTACAAAAGAGATTCTTCAGAAGCTAGCTGTTTAGTAAAGGACATGATCTGAACACAAAGAACTACCATGTAAGGAGTAGCCGTATTTGAGAAGCACCATAGACGTGGTGTGGACAGAAGTACCACAGGTGTTCAGTCCAATGGTGGGGGAGGGGAGACAAAGACATCATATCTCTGGCATAGACCTGCAGGAAATTTCGGAATGCTTTCCTAAGTTATAGTTCTTCACAATTACACAGACGTTGATTTCTCCCGCAATGTGACTTTTTGGGGTTTTATAGAGAGAAGTACAAAAAGAATAAAAACTAGACAAAACCATAAAACAAATTGGTACTCAGTATTAGCCCCATGGGCTGTACTACTTACTAGCTATGTGAATTTGGAATGCTACTTAATATCTCTGTGCCTGTCTCTTCATCTATAGAATGGGAATATGAATAACATAACATTTGCAAAACTCTTCGAACAGTGTCTTGTGCTATAAAAGTTATCATAAAGTGTGTCGGTGTGTGTGAGAGAGAGAGACGAGTCCAAAACTTATTCTCCTGTATCCAACTTCATCTCCTAGCCTGGGAGGAGGAGACCTGATATGGATCAATGATATATCACTTAGAATTGGGTTCAGCTGGGAGTACCAAAGGCCCTCCCTCTCCCCTAGTAGCAATGACTTAAGATAGAAGCTTATTGTCCTCACATGTAAATTTTGAAGGTAGGCAATTTCCAGGGCTCTATTCCATAAAGTCTTCAGGGAACCAGGTTCCTTCTAGCTTATTTCTCCATCACTTCCTGAGCAGGTACTGGTTGTACAGCCTCGGCCAGTCCTGCTCTAGACTTAGAGAGTCACTCACCCTTTCCCTTGGGCTCACTGTTTCTTCTCACCTGTGGAGTGGTATGGTGCTGAGGGCTATGGTGAGAGTGTGGGCCAGGCTCAGAGAGGTAATCTGCCCAAGGTCACATAGTTGGAATTCAAAGACTTTCTGGTGCCAGGACCCACATATAGTCCACTATTTATGTTGCTTCATAACATACTGTCTCTACCTTGTGCGTGGCTGATGCCAAGTTGCTCCTTAGAACTCTCACTGTGGACGTGATTTGGAGAGGGGCTTGGGGAGGGAGAGCGTGGAGGGACGCTGTGGCGGGCAGCCAGGCAACATCTCAGAACTGTGATCTAAGTGACAGCAATGGCAGAGCAGTGGAGAGACACAGAGAGTCAAGAGAGATTAGAGGTGGGTGGTGGAAGGATGGAATCACAGACGACATCCCTGGTACCTGGGTGGGTACTGATGTTACTCATTTAATATGGAACCCCAGAGAAGAGCAGGGTGGATTTAGAGAGGGGCAGATATTAAGTGCAACCTTTGATAAATGCCTAGTGGGGATGGCTGGAGGGCTCTAAATATCAGGATAAAAACGAAGGTGAAATAAGAGGTTATTCTGTAAATATTTCTTGTCCACATTTGCAATTACTATCTGTACCACTCACTTAAATCATTTAATCAAAACCTGCATTCTATTAATACCCTTGTAGGTAGATATTTATAGATACCAGACACTATCACTTGAAAGCAGAGACCAACTCCTCTTAGTCATGGATTTCACAAGGAATATCAGATCAATTGAAGGAAGCAGTGAACATATGAACATATTTTCTTTGAGCATCTGATTGTGGAGTAAGTGAATTTGTGACTCCATTACACAGGGCTTACACTTCCACCTCAGCACTCACATAACAGACACTCCTGTTGAAAGAATTCAAGCCTGACCACCTGGCTTCCAGCCAGGAATGGGACTGTAAATGTTAGATGTGAAAGGAATGCAAAGAGTTGTTGCGGCTGTGACCCACAGAAATGAGGTCAGGTCCATCTTCTCTTTACCCTCCAGACTAATTCACCAGTACTAGCCTTCAGCACTAAGCAGTCACAGTTCACATCGTTCACTTCTTTCAAGTATTCTCCCTTGGGTTATCTATCCTGGTGACTTTAGTCCTGGCCTTACTCATTTATCTCCTTAGTTGATTTCAACACAGGCTTTCTGTCAACTTAACTCTACTGCTATCCCCTCCTTTCTTCTCATGGTCATTCTATTGTTACTCGGATTTGTTTTATATTTCCTCAGTTTTCTTTACTCTTCTGGCTTCTGCTGCCGACTTCCACGGTCAGAGTAGGACACACCTTTCAATATTCAGAGGCACTGCTTCGCCCCCAGCTGTTCCTTCATGGCACTCTCCTCCTCCAACATCCCCGCCTGACCCTCCTCATCTACACACAGTCTGATCCAGATTTACACCAATGCTGAGGTCTTCAGCATCTTATTACCTATGTTATGTTTAGATCAGCCTTACCTCATGGGTTCTGTCTCAGTTTTCACCCAGGGATTCAGCGCCATTCTATGGTTACTATGACATTGCCTGCATTTTTAAAATGGCATGCTCCAGAGATAATTACCAAAAAAAAAAACAAAAACAAAAAAGAAAGAAGCAGAATTTCATTCTTTAAATGCACAAAATAATCAATTCAACAAATAAATGATTTCCCACGTCTAACACCAAAATTAGCCATAGTAAAAAGTAGCACCAGAGTTCAACACTTTTACAGATAATTTTTAACATTACTTGTTATAATAGTCTGTGAAACTCTATATAAATGTCTGATTTTTAAAAGTACTTAATTTCATTACATACGTCAGGTTTGCTTTGGGAGAGTACAAACTGAAGTGTAGCCGTGATTTTTCTGTCTTGTTATTGTCTGCATTGTGTCCGTTTTACCTGCCTTAATCTGACAGATTAGCATTGTGTTCCAAGTAGAAATGTGCAACGTATCTCCAAAAATCGAAGAGGTCTAGAGAGGCACCTGGGTTGCAGGCTCTGTGTAGCTGCCACGCATTATTCATGGCTACATCAATCATATAGCTCACCAAAATTGAGTACCATTTCTTGCTTCTTATTCTCACCTTATACTTGGAAATGATTTGATCCATTTTAGCTACACCTTCCCTGCATTCATCATACAATTTCACTATGGATGGCTGACTTATCTGAGGGCTCTCCTCATCATCAAGACAACTTATCTCATTGACTGGCTCTATGCCAACAGCGTTCGAGCACAGACTGATAATGCCATCACCATGCCAACGACACAGAATTATCTCATCATTTTCTTCCACTCGGAAATCAAAATACCCCTTCATCATTTTTTTCATATGTTCTGTATTCATAAGGGGACATTTTTCAGTCCTGTTCTCACGAATTGTTCCTGTTGCCCTTACCCCTTTCTTCTTCAAGGCTGACACCAATTTGACACTTGTAAAGAAGCTGTCAAAACACAGATGATAGGGGTACTGACCTCTCTCTAAAAGAACATCAGCAAAATTCATCACTAGATTTCCACCTAAACCAAGATCAAGATCCCTATCTGCCATCACAGTTGATTCTTCTTGATAGGGTTCAAACCAAACCACATAACCCTGTGTGGTTGTACCACACCAAATTTTATAGCCAATTCTAATAGGTTTCCCCTTCAAGAATTGGTCACTATCAAAGCATTCACACATTGTCTTATCAAAATAATAGTATTCTTCTAGAGGAGCATACAGGAGGAAGTTTTTATTCATTTGCTTTATGAGAGGCCTCAACTTTGTAAACTTATCTTTTTGGTCTAAGTGGCTATTATCTGCAAAGTGCAGGCATGAGAAAATCAATTCAAATCTGTCCCTTCTAATTGCATCTCTAACCAGGTTCTGATCGGCATCAGAGATTTCCCAGTACATGCCCCTTCTGGGACGCCTCACAAACCCACTCAAAAGCAGGACACCAAACACACACCTCATTTCCTGAACTGTGACTTTCAAGTTGACATTTTTCTGAGAAGCATAATTATTGGTTTCATTGACAATCAAGTTGAATGTCTCATCATCAAAAAATAATTCAAAGAGCTCTACTGGGTTCAACTTTTCACTCTTGAGATTCAAAAGTCCAGAATCCAGTGCTGACCAGTTTGGAAAGTTGGGTTTAATGTCTCTTTTGGTCCAATTCTTCTCTGGGACACTGGATACCTTTAGCTTTTTTGGAGCAGGCTGGGTCTCAGGCTCATTGTCTTCTTCCACATCTGAGTCACCAGAAAATGCCAGGCCTTGGAGCAGTTCACTCACTCGAGCTTTGTCTTTTTTTCTCCCTTTTCGGGTAATGTCTCCTGCAGCATATTCCAAGGATGAGATGTGCATCCGGGCCCACAAGTCACCCGGGTGACGGTCCTTCAGGGTATTCAAATGTGCAACCGTCCTTTCAGTAGGGACGGGAGTACTACAAGGGACTTGGGATGTGCCATCTCTGGGAAAGGAAAAAGAACATATGCTATAAAAATCCTCAGTCTTATTTGCTACTATGTGAAAAATCCACTGAAACCTAAGTATTCTTTTGTGGGGATTACTTACTTCTTACTCCATGAGGAGAAGTGGCCAGACCTAACATTTCTGACCTCCCTCTACCTCTCACTCACTCATGCTTTAACTAATTGCTGAATCTTGGAGAAGGAACTGGGCTGTCCTCTTTAGGGGCAAGTGGCAGGCGTTCCACGCTCCTGTTTGCCCCAGGTTGTATTGGGCAGGCCCACGCAGTGGGAGCTCTGCTACACTCCTCCTCTGCCACTCTGCCTGTTTAGCTCTGCCTCTGAGCTGCTTTATCAGTCCAGCTTCTGTCAAGAATAATGCTGAGGTTCCCAGAACCATCCGTCTTACTCCTGTGTCTCTCTCAATTGGTTCTGAACTTGGACACGGAAGGGGGTTATGATTTACTAGCCCCAATCACCTCTCACAGAATTCCTGAACATGAAAGGATTTAGCATCTTCTAGTTGTACATTCTTATCTAGTGGACACACCGCTCTGGGGAGAAACAAACTTACTGCTTTTGATCTGATTTTTATGGGGTTTACAAGGAAGAAGCTAAAGTTACTAAAATGAAAAGTATTATTTTACACAAACTTCTTTTTTAATTGTAGAAATTTGCATTCCATTTACTAATGTCCTATTGGCAAATAGTCTAGTTTTAGATGACACGGGGAAAAAGCAGTGAAGAGTATGTTTTCATATAATTTACACTACGTATATTTATTTACTTAAAGCATTTATCAACGTGGGTGTCTTCCATATCCACCCGTAGGACCCATTCAACACATCCATCTTAGAGTTCCCTGACATCCTCCACTTCAGGGACCCTCCCTGAGTCCCATCAATATCTGAATCTTTCCACTGCTGAAATCTAAACTCCAAGAGCTCACTCCCTCTCCCCAGTGTCTTTTCTCTCCAGCCTCCTCACGCCGTTGTCCCATGATGC